AGAGGTTGTGAAAAGTGAGAAAGATGAAACCGTGAGCATAGAAGTACGCCAGCCTAGCACCACTGCTCAAGCATCTGCAGTTACTGGTCTCTCTCCTTCCGAAGTTCTTTCTTCCCTGGTTGAATCTGAACCTGAAAGATTGTCCAAATAAGAAATATAACAATCATCATAGGGATTTTGTTGAAAATATAAGAATGTGGAATGCAGTTGAGGGAAAAAGTTAAACATGTTTAATTTTTGTATTTTTGTGTTGCTCGCACTGTTGTTTGGTAAAATTTAATGTTTCAAAGTTTTTCTTGGAATGAATTAAAAATAAAAAGAGAATTGTGCATAGTTAATTGTTTCTAAATGCTTATTTGTCAAATATTTATTGAGAATATTCTCTTTGTAAGAGCATGTAGAGTACCTGGATGTTAAGGTAACAACCTGGGCCCTGTTTATAGACATTTTGAGCCAAAGAGATGTAATTTTGAAAGGAAAGTGTTCGCCTGGCAGTGGTGGCTCATGTTTGAAATCCTAGTTGCTAAGTAGGCTGAGATTTGAGGATCATGGTTCAAAGCCAGCCCAGGCAATAAAGTCAGTGAGACTCTTATCTCTAATAAACTACCAAAAAAAAAAAAAAACAAAAGTGGAGCTGTGCCTCCTAGCATTGTACACAAAAATTCAGAGGGGATAGCACCCAGGCCCCAAGTTCAAGCCCCAGGATCAATACCTGCCCCCCCCAAAAGGGGGAAAATGTTCAACTATCATCTATAAGAGGGTGTTTTGTATGAAAACCATTAAGTGGAAATGAACAGTAAGAGGCTTTTGGGATTTGCGTAATTGTGAGTCAGGATTGCAATGGAATTTTTATGTAACCTGGGTGGTGAGCTAGTCAGGTTGTGGAGATGTTGAATAATTACCTTGTCCCATGAAGGTGTCTCATAGCTGAGCAATAAAATCCTAAAGGTCTGTTTTTGTCTTAAAAATTGCTGGAGACTGAAGGTGGAATTGCCAGTGATAGAGGATAAAGACAAATGTAGATCTAACATTCTTAATTCTCATAGTTCTGGAAGCTGGGAAGTCCCAAATCAAGATGCCAGCAGATTCAGTTCCTAAGCAGGTTACCTTCCTGGTTTGTTTATTTAACTCTGAACTCACTTACATTGGGGATAATGATAGGAGAGGGATAAAAAACAGTGAACAAATGGGCTTGGAAAAAGGGGGAAGAATAAGAATTCTAGTCTCTCTTCTGCATGTTGTAGAAACACTACTCCAATACCGAGGCCCACACTAATAAGGTTATCTAAATTTACTTACTTACTCAAAACATATTTCAATGCAAGTGTATTAGCTTACAACAAAACCACTTTAAATATGAATCTATAAGCATATTAAAAGTAAAAGATTGAGCTGGGCAGTAGTGGCCCATATATGTAATCCTAGCTACTTAGAAGGCTGAGATCTAAGGATCACAGTTGGAAGCCAGTGTGGTAAGTCACGAGGCTTATCTTCCATAAACTATGAACACAAGCTGGAAGTGGAGCTGTGGCTCAAGTGGTAGACCATTACCCTTGAGCAAAAGAAACTCAGGGACAGCACCCAGGCCCTGATTTCAAGTCTTAGGAATGGAACAAAAAATAAAAAAGTACAGGATTGACAAATATAGAAGGTGGGTGAATATGGTAAAAATACTTTATATGCATATGGGAAACTCAGTTCAATTCCCAGTATTGTGAGCAGGGAGTTACAATGAAACCCATTGCTTTGTACAAATAGTATATACTAATAATAACGAAAATGTTCTTGTTTAGAAAAAAGTAAACTTGTACAGAAAAGATTTAAATGTGTAAGAAACTTGGTGTGAAAAACTCTACAGAAGAATCAGGCCTAGTCAAAATCAGTAATTGGAACATGTAATGAAAAATATAGTTTTCAGAAAAGCAACAGTATTCAAAATATACCTAATAAATGCACAAGTTCCTCACAGAGACAACTATTACACCTTAAGAACACAATTGAAAGAAAAAAGCCTCAAATAGAATTGCATAGTATTTACCACAGAGAAAAAATACTGTGAAAACATCACATTTTCATTCTTTTGAGATTTACACACTATATCATGACAGAAATCAACTGTGGAAAAATTAAAGATAAACACTAATTATATCAAGGAAGAGCAAGGCATAGTGATTCATAATTGTGACCCTAACTACTCTGCAAACAGGGGTAGCAGGATCACTAAATGAGTTGGTAAAATAACAAAATGGAAAAATAAACACAAGAGGCCTTATTTGAAAAGTAATTGCAAAAGGCACCGTGAAGTGATGTTAGTAGAATATTTGCATAAAAAGTGAGTGATCCCAACTTCAAAACTCAGTAATGTCACTGGAGGGTAAAATAAAGAAAAATACACTAAGATATATTATACAGGTCTCTAGGTATTCACACAGAGTAAGACTAAAGGAGGATAATCTTAGGAACTAAGTGTAACAGAGAGATTCAATACCTATGTGCATCTGATCACATACAATAATATTAATTGAAATGAACTATCAGGAGTTTTTTTTTATTTGCTACTTTTTAAATTCTTTTCCCTTTGTCTTGTTTGTTCCATTATCTGTCTTGGGGAGGGTAAGGCCAGCACAGAAATGGAGGGACAAAGGGTGTACAAATGTAGCAGTGGTACTCACTAAACACTATGTTGACAATTAATTATAAAACTTATGGGTGGGGCCTGAAGGGAAAAAAACTGGGAGAGAGCCAGGGAAAGGGTGACATGGTTCAAAAAGAAATGTATTCTTTATCTGATTTGTGTAACTGTAACCCTTCTGCATATCACCTTCACAATAATAATAAAAAATGCAAAGAAAAAACCCCCAAAACAAACAAACCCCAACCCTCAGAACTGAAAACCAAAGTTGTCAGACTAGTGGGCTCAGGGACAATGTTCAAGCCTTATTTTAAGCCCCAGTATTGGCACCAAAAAAAAAGTCAAGACAACAGACTTGAGGGTGCCATTCACAAAAGAGGAGAAACCAAATACATCTCTAGTGGAACATTTTTGCGTGTGCGCTCATCCGTATATGTATGTATCCATTCTGCGGCTTGAACTCAGGGCTTGGGTGCTTTCCCTGAGCTTTATTCCTCTCTACCATTTGAGCCACATCTCCACCTCTGGCTTTTTGGAGTCTCACAGACTTTCCTGCCTGGGTTCGTTTTGAAGCACCTTCTTCACACATTTCTCCAAACACCTAGGATCTTAGGCGCAAACCTTTGGAAGGACTGCATGACAGCTATGCTAGGGATCCATCTTTACTTTAGATTCACTGTTCTCCAGAAAAACAAATTCTTTGTTCACATCCAGGAGAGAGAGCTGTCCTCACTAGAAGCAAAGCCAGAAAAATAATTTTTGCTACTTTTCTCGGAACTCTCCTGGAACAGTCCCATGTGTGAGGTTCTATTCCTATCATGAAATTCTCCAAGGAAGGGGAAGACTGGGTGGGGAAAACCTGGAGGACAACACCGGAAGGGGAATACCGGGAGGGGTAGACCAAAAGAGGGGAGACAGAAAGCGGGGGAACAAAAAGAGCAGAGGAAGTAGGAGGACCGGAAGTGGGGGGCCGGAAGTAGAGGACTGGTGTGGGAAGAGACAGGCGATGGAAGGTCGGATGTGAAAGATCGTGACTGCTGCTTCACCAGATATTAAGGTGTGGTGCCTTGCTGTTGCATTGTGACTTCAAGTCAAGTGAGAGACTTCTCAAGTGTTTTCAGGGGCCTTTGTGAGTAATCTGAGTTAAAGCTGAATGAATCCTGTGTAATCTATGAAAATTGCACGGTGCCGATTCCTTGAAAGTACGGCCATCTTGGGCTCCTCCTCCTTATATTAAGTCTGAAAAGTCCGGGGATAGTTTATTTAGGACTAAAGGCCATTTGCTTCCCCTAGAAGGCTCAAGAAATAAAGGTCTTGGTTTGTGGCTTATAGAATAGGGTCATCAGATGAGTAAATATCATACACCATGGAGTTAAAAAGAGACCAATTGGCTGGTCGCCAGTGGTGGTGCACACCTGTAATCTAGCTACTCAGGAAGCTGTTATTTGGGGATTGAGGTTCAAAGCCAGCCTAGGCAGGAAAGTCCGTGAGACTCTTATCTGAAATTAACCACCAGAAAACCAGAAGTGGCGCTCGGCTGAAGTGGTAGAGTGCTCGCCTTGAGCTAAAGAGCTCAGAGACAGCGCCCAGGTCCAGAGTTCAAGCCCCATGACCAACAAAAACAGAAGAGAGAGAGAGAGAGAGAGACCAACCGTGATAACTGACTCAAAAGTAGTTTGAGGGGGACATAAGGAATTCGAACTATGACTGTTCTCCAACTGATCCAGGCAGATCGAAGAATATGTGTGCTTCTTTACTCGGCTTTCTGCAGAATTAGAGCATTAGGGGATTTCCTCTAAGAAAATGGAAACTGGTAAACCTTGCAAAATTCTCAAATCATGCAAAAATTCAAGATGATGACTCTACTCATTATGGGAACTATACTGTAGGCAGGTAGCAATGAGGGTCCTTAAATATTTTTCCTCTTGTCTAGGAATCCAGAGTATCCCTGAAAGATGTTGTTGTATCAATGTGCTTCTTTACTGGGAGTTGGACGTAATGTTATTTTCAGAGAAACAGAGAGAAGGGGGCTAGATATACTTCTTGCCAAAAAATAGATAAATATAAATCAACAGTGTTCTGAATCCAGAACAGCAAAGCCCCACTGCTAGTCACTATAGGCCATCAAGTAAGCCCAGTGTCGTGCAGTGACCTAAGATTCTCTTAACTTCCTCCACAGGATTCTCAGGACACAGGGACAGAACAGAAGAGTCTGGTGGGTTCCTAAAGCAGTGTGATTGCAGAAAACTGAAGAAGGGGCCAAGGTAAAGCCAAATTACCCTCCCACTGATGATGGTAGTCACAAGCTGTCATTTCTCCACTCTAGGTTTTTTTTTCCAGGTCTCCTCAGGAGCTCACTGGAGTCATCATGCCACGAGGACAGAAGAGTAAGCATCGCTCTCGTGCCAAGCGTCAACTGGCTCGTATTGAGAGACAGATTCTTGAGAATGCACAGTACATTGCAGAGGAGGCAGAGTCCCCACCCTCCCTTCCTACTGTTGGTGAGGGTGCTCCCTTAAGCTCCCCTTCTGTCTGTAATCCCCAGGAGTCTCAGGGAGAAATATCCTATGAATCTTTTGATGCAGGGGCTTGCTGCAGTGGTTTTAATGTGGGTGCAGAGGGTATTGATAAAGGTGCAGATGAGGAAAGTCCCATGACGTCTCAGGAAGTCTGCCCCACTCAGATCCTATGTAGAGACTCTTTTGATTGGAAAACAAATAGATTGATGCAGTACATGCTAGAGAAGTTTAAAAAGAATGAGCGGTTTACACAGGCAGAGATGCAAAAGGTCATGAAAGGCAAGTTGAAACAGAACTTACCTGAGATCTTTAAGAAAGCATCTGAGCACTTGGAGTTGATTTTTGGCATTGAGGTGAGAGAAATAAATCCCAATAGTGAAACCTATACCCTGATCAATAAGTTACGCCTCTCCAGTGACAGCAGTCTGAGTGGCAGATGCAAATTTCCCAAAACAGGCCTGGTGATGATACTCCTTGGTGTGATCTTTATGAGGGGCAATAGTGCCAGTGAGGAAGAAATCTGGGAATTCCTTAATTCCCTGGGGATATATGCTGGGAGGAAGCATTTAATTTTTGGGGAGCCTCGAAAGCTCATCACCAAAGATTTGGTGCGGGATGGGTACCTGGAATACTACCGGGTACCTGGCAGTAATCCTCCCCGCTATGAGTATATTTGGGGTTTCAGAGCCTATGTTGAAACTACCAAGATGAAAGTTTTGGAGGTCTTGGCCAAGATCACTGATAGTGAACCTAGTTCTTTCCCTAGCCTGTATGAGCAAGCTTTGAGAGAAGAGGAAGAAAGAAAAGAGAGAGCTGAAGCTGAAAATAGCACTGATGGGCAGGCCAGGGTTCCTTCCCATGCTAGGTCCCACGCATCCTCCCACATTTAGTTAGGTCTGTGAGTTTTCACCTGTTCGAAGAACAGAATTAGAGGGAACAAAATGTATGTCCCCTTTCATTTTTTCCTTTGGATAACATTGTTTTAATACTATGTCTCAGTTCTTTTTTTTTTCAAGGTTTGTGCACTCATTTGAAGATTTATTTTACTTCAGATTATAATCTTTATGTTATTCTTAACCACTTCTTTTTCAAAATGTTTCAAAAGTTACAGTTTTATTGTTTATATAAAAACCTATGTGGGCGGGGGAAACTAAAACTTGTCTTTTTCCCTATTATATATGAATAAGTTGTGTAACTTGTAAGTGTTCATTTGAAGGTTAATTTGTTACAGTCTGTTAACATAATATATGACATGTTTATTGTTATTTATCAAGTTTAATAGTTTTGTTAGTCTGAAATGGGCAAATTGTCCTTTTATTATAACATAAAGTAACATCTGAAGAGGAATTTTTTGCAAACAAGTGAAAAAAAAACATTGGAAAACAGCTGATATTACAAAATGTTGAGACAAAAATAAATCGATAATTGACTATTCTTTTTGCTCATTTCTAGTAATATTAAATGGAATGGATTTGAATTTGGTTAGTCAAGCTATAAGAGACTAAGTTGTTTTAAAAAAGAAAATTAAGTTATAAAAATTAAATCTCTTACTATTTTTTTATTATTTTAGTAGTTTTTTCCAAGCCTTACTTGAAGCCCCCAACAGTACATCTGCCCATAGGCTTTTAGAGTCAAATGGCTTCTATTTTATAAGCAAGATGATTAGGTAGTGTCTAAAGGAGAAAGGACAAGAAGGAGGGATGAGGAAAAGAGGTTTCAGATGGAAGCCAAGTGTAAATTGATCAAGGTAATGTGGAACATTCAGAGATTACAATTCTGTCTATGTGAAATAATTTAAGTGAGGTTTTGAGGTGGGCTAGATGGCACTCTAGGCATGGTAAGCAAGGGCTAGATCCTCTTGTGCCACTGATTAAGGGTCTTAGTGCCTAATAAGAAGCAAATCTTAACAGTTCCTTTGGAACTGTAATACTCATCTGAGGTAGAAATGTAAGGAGTCTCTGCACTTGTGCCAGTGCAGGTAAATACACTTGCACAAACCATGCACATATTGTTCAGGAAGTTCCCGAGAGATAGAGGTGATAGTCCCTTCAGCTACCAAGAAACTTCTGACCTGTCACACTTATTATGGAGTAGTTTAGTCATAGTCTGATCAATTTAAAGGACATTTTAAGCCGGGTACTAGTGGTTCTCACCTGTAATCCTAGCAATTAAGAAGGTTGAGATCTGAGGTTCAAAACCAGCCTGGGCCTAGCGCCAGTGGCTCACGCCTATAATCCTAGCTATTCAGGAGGCTGAGCTCTGAGGATTGTGGTTCAAAGACAGCCCAGGTAGAAAAGTCTGTGAGACTCTTATTCCAATGAACCACCAGAAAACTGGAAGTGGCACTCTGGCTCAAGTGGTAGAGTGCTACCCTTGAGCTGAAGAGCTGAGCTGAAGAGCTGGGGGCCAGCACCCAGGTCCAGAGTTCAAGCCCCACAACTGACAAAAAAATAGCCTGGGCAGGACAGTCTAGAAGACTTATCTCCAATTAATCCACAGAATGCCAGAGGTGGAGCCATGGCTCAAGTGCTAGAGTGCTAGCTGTGAGCAAAAATGCTCAGGGACAGCACTGAGAACCTGAGTTCAAGCCCCAGGACTGGCAAACAAAAAAGACACTAATCAGTTGGCTTGGAAGATAATTTCTAAAACCTAAAAGAAGGCTCAGTTTTCAATAATGATGAAATAAATGAAGAAGGATAATTGAAATGGAAAGGTACTTAGAACGGAGGACATTGGCCCTTGACACAAATCAGGAGCTTGTGAGTTAAGAGCTGGAGAGCAACCCCATACCGACATGATTTAATATGCTGTAATTGGGAAACCCTACTCAGTTGTACTTGCTCAGCAGCCTTGTACTTGTGCTACATCTTTTAGACTTCATGAAATCTTGAAGATATTTTTAAAGTTAAATTTTGTATAGGAAGGGTGTTACAATCTTAGGTCAAATAAATTAGTAATAACTTCATTACAGACTCAATCTTTGCCTACCACTCTGCCAAGTGATTTAAATTGATTATAAACCTAAATTCTACGTAAAGAGTTTATAAGAGTCACTCTGAAGACAACTTTCAATTTTCTCAAGGTAAACAGCAGAGCTGGATTAGATGCTTACTGAATTCCTTTAGAGTTTACACTGTCACACTCCTACCTGACAGCCCTCATGCCACCCGTTTTCTGCCCACTATTTCAAGTATGTATTTCTGGTAGTAAGTTCAATACTTCACACTCCAAAATACTGTTTTGGAATACAAGGCAAAAAAGTAATCAGTGTAAATACAAAAATAAATGTGAGTTTTGATTAAAGAGAGAGGCTAAGAAAGCATGAGTTTGAGTCTAATTTGGGCTACATAATGAGTTTGAGGCCAGGCTAAGCTATGTAAGTTTGATACCAGTCTGGACTACATTGCAAGATGCTGACATACAAAAAAAAGAAAGTGAAGGGAGGGAGAGAAAAGTATGCAAGACTTTGGTACAATCTAAAAAAGAGATATCTTATTTGTGAGATAGAAATGCAAACTGGGTTTCATCAGAGCTCTAAAAATGTTACAGAAACCAATCATGGACAACCTGAAACAATGTTTAGGTAAAGTTCTCTTTAACTAGGTTGTTTGGAGGATTATCTTCTCCATTTGACTTGCCCTCTTGTCCCTGTTCCCGATTTAGATTTTTCCAACCTAGGTAACATGTCAGCATTTGTTTAAAAATTCCTTTGAAGAATTTCTTTTTCAAAGTGTGTGCTAAACACTAGTTCTTTTTTCTGGTGCCAGGTTTTAATATGTACCTGATACCTTGGCTTATTAGATAGTTAACTGTATAAAAATTATGTGAATCAAATTTTATTTTTGAACAAAACTGATATATTATTTTAAAAATCTATAATATGAACAGCAACGACAATATAAGATCTGCTGACCTCACCCTTAGTGAACACTTAGTTTTTTATCACTGCAATAAAATAACTATCCCATTTGTTTCAAACTGCATTCTATTGAAATTGATTTAAATTTATTGCTAAAGTCAATTTTAGATTATGTACCCATGGCATACATTTTTTAAAATAACAATACTAGCTGGGTGCTAGTGGCTCATGCCTATAACCCTAGCTACTCAGGAGACTGAGATCTAAGGATCATGGCTCAAAGCTAGCCCAGGCAAGAAAGTCCATAAGAGTTAATCTCCAATTAAGCACTAAAAACAAGCCAGAAGGGGAACTGTAGCTCAAATGACAGAACATTAGTCTTAAGCAATAAAGTTCAGGGACAGGGACCAGGCTCTGAGTTCAAGCCACAAGACTGGCCAAAAAAAACCCAAAAAACCTAGGGGTTGTAGGTGTAGCTCAGTGGTAGGGCACCTAACAATGAACAATAAGCATCAGATACCAAGTTTGAGTCTCTGGATCAGACAAAAGAGAATAAAAAAGAACCAAAAAATTTATAACAACACTAAGGACTGGCATTATGACTCTATTTTACTTATCTGTAATAAATATCATCAAAACTATGCTCATATCTCTTCTCCGATGGTAGTCAAGCTCATCTTTAATTTAAAAAAAAGCCAAAAAGCATTTTGAACTGAGTTATTAGGAGAAATGTTTTATTACATCAACTCTAGAAGAAATGGGATTGTTGCTGCACTTAAGTCTGTTCTCTAAGACAAAAATTTTTACTGAATAGGGACACAATTCCTGTACATGATGAAAACCAGATACCTGGATACTTGTATAGGGTACCAAAAATTAACAATACTATTTTGATTTCTTCCTGTTGTTTGAAAATTTTCAGTCAGCCTAAAAGTTGTGTGTGTTGGAACATATGCTCTATAATTCAGTGTTCTAATTGCATGAAATCATTGTCTTAGAATTACACTAAATTTCTCACAGATCTAAAATGATTTATTTTTATTAACATATGATCTAGGCAATTAAACATGTTTATTAAACATAATTGTAAGTATCACCATAATAATTATTTACATAATAAATTATGGGAGAAAATATATGTCCTTGACCTGAGAGTTCATTTGTCTTTAAGAATGTATTCTGAAAAATGATATAATGGGCTTCATTAATGATGATTTTTGAACTCTAGGTCATTCTTCACATTAGCTACTCAAAAAAAGGGGAAAAAATTTGGTGAATGAGGCATGGCCTTTGATTTGGTTTATATAAAATTATTTAGATAATTTTAAATATATGTGAAATAAGACATTTATAAAAATGAATATAAAAATTTGGAAAAATTAGTTTATATATTTAGTTAGGATAAATTTATGTCACTAATGTTTAAAATGAGATTCTAGGAAGTAATTATTCAGGACTTTTTCTGAACCCAAGAATTTAGTGTGCAGGATTATTTTTATTTATAAAAGTGCTTTGAAAATGAAATACATTCTTTATCCTTAGGAAGACAATGTTAAGTGAAGGTTGATAAAGGAGTAACTGATGGCCAGGTGCCATAGCTCACACCTGGAATTCTAGCTGCTCAGGAGGTTGAGATTTGAGGATCCCAATTTATCTCCAATAAACCAACTAAAACCTATAGTGGACCTGTGGCTCAAGTGGTAGAGTGCTAGCCTTCAGTGAAGAGCTAAGGGACAGTGACTAGGCCCTGAATTCTAGCCCCAGGAATGGCTTATATGTGTGCATGCACACATGCACATGCACACACACGAGGGTATGCACACACACACGCACACACACACACACACAACTTGATGATCTTTGTGAACAAAATTAAACAACGAACTACAAAAATTAATATGTAGTCTGTGGTATTCGCCAGAGCATAAGCTGATAAATAATTTAATATTTTGTACAATAATAATTCATGGAGTAAATGTATAAATCATCTATTTAAAATTAATATTACCTAAATATGATATACATTTACAT